ACAAAGTGGCACTCATGAGATTTGAACCACGCAGTCTGTGGCTAGAGCCCATGCTCTCTCTCTTTTCCTTCCTTCCTTCCTTCCTTCCTTCCTTCCTTCCCTTCCTTCCTTTCCTTCCTTCCTTCCTTCCTTCCTTCCTTCCTTCCCTTCCTTCCTTCCTTCCTTCCTTCCTTCCTTCTTTCCTTCTTTTTTCCTTTTCTTCTCTTCTTTCCTGTCTTTCTTTCTTTCTTTCTTTCTTTTTCTTTCTTTCTTTCTTTCTTTCTTTCTTCTTTCTCTTTCTCTTCTTTCTTCTTCTTCCTTCCTTCCTTCCTTTCCCTTCCTTCCTTCCTTCCCTTCCTTCCTTTCTTTCTTTCTTTCTTTCTTTCTTTCTTTCTTTCTTTCTTTCTTTCTTTCTTTCCCTTTCTTTTTATTGATAGGGTCTCACTTTGTCACTTAGGGTGGAGTGTGCAATGACACAATCATGCTTACTGCAGCCTCAACCTCCTGGGCTCAAGGGATCCTCCCACCGTAACCTCCTGAGTAGATGGGACTATAAGCCCATGCCAGCTGGCTTTTTTGTTTGTTTGTTTGTTTGTTTTTTGTAGAGATAAAGTTTCACTATGTTGCCCAGGCTTGTCTCAAACTCCGGGTTCAAGCCATCTGCCCACCCTGTCTTCCCAAAGTGCTGGGATTACAGGTGTGAGCCATGCCTGGCCTAGAGTTCATGCTCTTAACCATGATAGTATAAGCACAAAATGAAAACACATGTGACATTACCTTAAGAACTCTAAAGTGTCTTGAAAATATAGAGTATATGTTCTATTGACAGTGGATAGTGGCTTGATACTTTTTAAATCACTGCAATTTTTTTTAGAACCATTTGACCCATTGCCTCTGAAAAATCTCTCCCTGTGGATGTCTTAAAGGCATCACAAACTCAATACTGCTAAAAAAATAAAAGCTTAACTATTTTTTCCTACCATGCCCTCCAATCTGTTCCTTTTCATCTGCAGTGTAACAGATGACTCTACTCAGGGGCCCAAGTCACACACCTGGGAATCTCCTTGGATGCCCCCTCTCCTCACCCCTGCATTCGACCAATTGCCAAGTCCCATTGATTTTACCCCGTTAGTCTCTAAGTTTGTCTGTCCCCTTCCCTGGGTTCCTTCCTTGGTTGTGTGTGCCCTCAGATCTCCCCTGGATCCCTCTGACACACTCAGAGCTCATGACTTCACCTCCAGCCTTCCCTCCCAGCCATGCTCCACACTGAAGCTACAGGATCTTTCTGAAATGAACCCGTTCACATTGCTCTCCTTAAAACCCATATGTAGCTCCTAGAACATTCAGGATCACATCTAAACCCTTTCCTTGGCTGACAAAGGTCTTTCTCACCTGCACCTGCCACCTCCAGGCTCCATTTCTGCAGACTTCTGAAGGCACAGCACTTGGGGACCACAGTATTTTTAGGGATCTATGAACATGTTTTAATTTCTTTAAAATTAGAAAGAAAAACAATGAACTTTTAAATTGCAGAAGGTGTTTTAATATATAATAGTAATTTATGTGTTTATACCAACACAGCCATAAAATATGTATTTTCATATGTTTGTTTAAGGGAGGGAGGGGCCATGAAAGTGAAATGCCTAGGACCCTCAAAAACTATAAGGTAGCCCCATTGGTTACATTTCCAAAGTCCCCACTCTCCTGGCTAACTCTTCCTCATCAGCCGGGCTCTTAGTTCATAAATCTTGCCCTGCAGGAAGTCTTTTTCCTTTTTTTGAGATAGGGTCTCTGTTGCCCAGGCTGGAGTGCAGTGACGCAATCATGGCTCATTGCAGCCTTGACCTCCGAGGCTCAAGCAATCCTCTCACCTCAGCCTCCCAAGTAGCTGGAACCACGGGCGTGCACCACCATACTTGGCTAATTTTTAAATTTTGTAGAGACAGGATCTCACTGTGCTGCCCAGGCTAGTCTTGAACTTCTGGACTCAAGCAGTCCTCCTGCCTCGGCCTTCCAAAATGCTGAAATTATAGGCATGAGCCACTGCACTTGGGCCCAGAAGTCTTTTCTAACCCTAAAACTAAACTAAGTATGATTCTGACTGCTCCAGGGCACCCTGCTGTTGTCTATACCACAGCAAAGCCAGCCAAGTGTGGCGTTTGTCCTGTTTTCTAGAAACTCCTTGATAGCAGGTTTATGTCTGGTTCATCGATGTGGCCCCGGCATCTGGCATGTAGTAAGCACTCAACAAATAACTATTGAATGAATACAGTTCTGTTTACACAGAAGTTTAAAATAGATAACAACCTTCAGGAGGGCACCTGTTTTGAAACCCTTGAAATGCATGCATTCTTTTCAATTTCACTCCTAAGGAGAGGCCACATAGCAAACAGAGAGGCAGACAGCCTAGGTTGGAATCTCATCTCTGCCAATTACACCTGCATGACCTTGAGCAAATTACTCAATGTCCTCATTTCTCAATTTCTTCATCTGTAATGTGGGGATAATAACAGTTCCTAAACTCATAGGATACTAGGGAAATTAAGTTAATACTTGGAAAGCACTTGTAACAGTCAATGCCTGTATTCGTCTGTTTTCACACTGCCGACAAAGACATACTCGAGACTGGGGATTTTACAAAGAAAAAGAGGTTCGATGAACTCACAGCGCCACGTGGTTGGGGAGACCCCACGATCATGGTGGAAGGAGAAAGCTACGTCCCACATGGCTGCAGGCAAGAGATAATTGAGACCCAAGCGAAAGGGGAAACCCCTTACAAAAACATCAGATGCTGAGAGACTTATTCACTACCATGAGAACAGTATAGGGGACCACCCCCACGATTCAATTATCTCCCACCGGCCTTCTTCCCCAACACTTAGGAATTACAGGAGCTACAATTCAAGATGAGATTTGGGTGGGGACACAGCCAAACCATATAAATGCCTAATATATAGTAACCTATCTTAAGGAAATATTGAATGAAGGATGCAGATGCTGCTTTTGTTTTGTGGCAGAGTTGTAGCTCCAAATGTCACAATGCATATTTTCTCTGTCACTCAGGCTGGAGTTTGGTAGCTAGATCATGGCTTAGTCCTGCATCAACCTCCTGGGCTCAGGTGATCCTCCCACCTCAGCCTCCCAAGTAGCTGGGACTACAGGTGCACACCACCATGCCTGGCTAATTTTTGTTGCCTAAGCTGGTCTTGACCTCCTGGGCTCAAGCAATCCATCTGCTTCGGCCTCCCAAAGTGTTGGGATTACAGGCATGAGCCACCGTGCCCAACTCACAATGGGTATTTTTGATGTATTCCTCTCCTTCTCTTGTTCATTCACTGTACCCTAAGGTTTGGTTTGCTTTCCTCCCTCCTTACAGCTCTGTAAAAGCAGTTGCTGGACTGAGACACAGGAAGGGTCTGGAGCCTTCTCCCTCACAGCTCCAAGATGAGATGCACCTGGGTTTGGTGTGGGATAGGGGAGGGGAGGGACAACAGAGGAAGAGGAAAATGAGGAGGAATCCGGAGCCCTCCAGATGGACTCTAGAGAGAGGCACCTTCCATTTGGAGGATGGGGTAGGGAGTCAAGGCAGCCAGCTTCTCATTGTCCCATTGTCTGTAAACAGCCCCCTTGTAACTATCCTGGGTCCACAATACTTGTAAGGTCCCCAAGACAGGATGTGTTAGGACTTAGCCTGAGGGGAGCTCTCCCTCCTCATAAGGTGAACCAGGGTGTAATCATGTGGGAATTTCTCTTTGAGTCATAACAGCACTGGACATAGCACCACCATCATAATTACAGGGATGTTGTTGAAGTGTTATCCATTACAGTAAAAAATGAAAACAAGTTAATGTCTAATAATATGGGATCAGTTAAGTAAATAAGGGTCCTTCCTCCTTCCCTCCCTCCTTTCTTTTTTTTTTTTTTTTTTTTTGTGTGGGGCGGACAGAGTCTCGCTCTGTCACCCAGGCTGGAGTGCAGTGGCACAATCTCGGCTCACTGCAAGCTCTGCCTCCCGGGTTCACGCCATTCTTCCGCCTCAGCCTCCCCAGTAGCTGGGACTACAGGCGCCCGCCACCACGCCCAGCTAATTTTTTGTATTTTTAGTAGAGACGGGGTTTCACTGTGTTAGCCAGGGTGGTCTTGATCTCCTGACCTCATGATCCGCCAGCCTCGGCTTCCCAAAGTGCTGGGATTACAGGCGTGAGCCACTGCGCCTGACCCCTCCCTCCTGTCTTCCCTCCCCTTCCCTCCCCTCCCCTCCCCTCCCTTCCCCTTCCCTCCCCTCCCCTCCCTTTCCTTTCTTTTTCTTTTCTTTCTCTTTCTTTTTTCTTTTTTTTTCTTTTTTCTTGAGACAGGGTCTCTCTCTGTCTGCCAGACTGGAGTGCAGTGGTGTGATCTTGGCTCATTGCAACCTCCGCCTCTCAGGCTCAGGTGATCCTCCCACCTCAGCCTCCCCAGTAGCTGAGAATACAGGTGCCCATCACCACACCCAGCTAATTATTTTATTTTATTTTATTTTATTTTGTTTTTATTTTTGGTAGAGACGGGATTTCACCATGTTGCCCAGGCTGCTAATCTGTATTCTTTTCCTTCTTTCCTTCCTTCTTTCCTTCCTTCCTTCCTTCCTTCCTTCCTTCCTTCTTTCTTTTTCCTTCAAACTAGATCAGGATGTAAATCTGTATTCTTTCAATGCAATGAACTAAACTATGAGTCTAGCCATTTGTTTGAGTTCTGTGAGCCATTCAAATGAGTCTTTGAAACAGAGGGTGGTCGTAGGGCCCTATGACACCTTGTTTCTTAGTTTTGGAAACTCTCTTGATATCTCTGTCTTTTTTTGTCTCTATCCCCATCCCACTATCACCCCTCCCCCTACTATGAAAGAGCAGGTACCTGGACAAGCTCTATCAGGAGAGAAAAGTATAGATGCAGAGATGAGCTAAGCTGTTCTGCACAACAGAAGTGCCAGGAATCTGATCTTTCTTTCTGATAGGTCAGAAAGACTCTATTTTCAAGGTCCTGACATGTGTAGCAAAGTGGAGAAGGACCTGGTTAGAGGTGGAAGGGAGAAGACCAAGATGGCAGCAGGACAAGACCCTGGACGCAGAAGTCCATAAGAAATCTCCATTGCTGACAGCAATGGTCAGCGCTGAACCTTATGTCATCTCCCACTTTGTGCTTGGTTAGGGGTCACCTTCTTGATCCTGAACTCCAGTAAAGAAGAATCTGTTATCCACTGAGTGCTTGGTGACCTTTGGGGACAAAGGAGGAGATAAATGGAGTAGAGGGTGCAGGGACAAAGCAGAGAAGAGAGCAGACAGCAACTTTAGGAAATGGAGGTGGGATTTGGCTAAACCAGGGATTGGAAAATTACCAGGAGAAGGCTTAATGTCCCTTAGCACGTGGCATGAGACCAAGATATTTTATTTGGCTGTCAAAGAACAGGCGACCACAGAAAGTTGAAGGACTTGGGAGCATATATATCCCTGTATTGAGATTCATTAAAAAGGCCCTGGAGGAATGTATCTGAAGGCTAATAGTGGCTATCTCTAAATGGGGGGTAACATGATTTTATGTTTTTATTTAATCTATGGAGTCTAATCTTTTCTACCATGACAACGTAATGCTCTTGCAGTAAAGAAAAATAACTGTTGGCCAGGGGCGATGGCTCATGCCGGTAATCTCAGCAATTTTGGAGGTCACGGCGGGAGGATCATTTGAGTCAGGAATTCGAGACTAGCCTGGGCAGCATAGTGAGACCTGGTGTCTACACAAAATTTTAAAAGGTAGCCAGGTAGGGTGATGAATGCCTGTGGTCCCAGCTATTTAGGAGGCTGTAGTGGTAGAATCACTTGAGCCCAAGAGATTGAGGCTGCAGTAAGCCTTGTTCATGCCATTGCTCTCCAGCCCAGGCAACAGAGTGAGACCCTGTCTCAAAAAAAAAAAAAAAAAAAAAAAAAAAAAAAAAAAAAAAAAAAAAAGAAGAAGAAGAAGAAGAAAAAGAAAAATATCTGTTAAAGGTAAAAGTGATATTCTTGACCCAGGAGTTCAACACAAGCCTAGGCAGCATGGCTAAACGCTTCACTACAAAAAACACAAAATTAGCCAGGCATGGTTGCGCACACCTGTGGTCCCAGCTGTTAGGGAGGCTGAGGCGGGATGATTGCTTGAGCCTAGGAGGCAGAGGTTGCAGTGACCTGTGATGGCACCACTGCACCCCAACCTGGGCGACAAAGAGAAACCCTGTCTCAAAGTTAAGGAAAAAAAAAATTGTAAAAAAGTGATATTCTGGCCGGTGGCGGTCTGTGATCCCAGCACTTTGGGAGGCCAAGGCGGATGGATCACCTGAGGTCAGGAGTTCAAGAACAGCCTGGCCAACATAATGTAACCCTGTCTCTACTAAAAATACAAAAATTACCTGGGTGTGGTGGTGGGTTCGTGGCATTGCACTCCAGCCTGGGTGACAGTGTAAGACTCCATCTCAAAAAAGTAAAAAAAGTGATATACTTAGCTAGAAAATTCAAAATACAGATTCAGTAGTCCCCCCTTATGCACAGTTTGAGTTACCTGCAGTCAACTGTAGTCCAAAAATATTAAATTGAAAATTCCAGAAATAATTCATGTTTTCAATTGCTTGCCATTCTGAGTGAGGTGATGAAATCTCATACCGTCTTGCTTTACCCCTCCCGGCATGTGAATCCTCCTTCTGTTTAGTGTATCTGAACCGTAGATGCTACTTGCTCATTAGTCTCTTAGCAGCTGTTGGTTATCAGACCAATCCATGGTATTGCAGTGCTTGTGTTCAAGTAACCCTTATTTGACTCAATTATTCTATTTATTATTCGTTGTTGTTGTTAATCGCTTACTTTGTAAGCGCCTATCTTGTAAATTAAACTTGATCATAAATATGTAGGTAGGAAAAAACATAGTATATAAAAGGTTTGGCCGTCGATCAGCGAGGGAGCAGCAAACGGCCGGCGGCTGCAGCCTCGCAGCGGCGGAGGCGTCGCCGCATCTTGGACGGTTCTTCTGCCACTGCTGCTCCTTGAACATCGTCCTGCGCCTGTCAGATTATATCTGCCCAAGATGCACGTCTGATTTTATCGAGGAGCTTCCTGAAGAGACCAGGGGCACAGAAAACGATTCTACTCCTGCCACCGCCCCCACAGACCAGAGCCGACCGCCGCTGGAGAACTTTGACCAGCACCTGTCCACGCTGCCGCAGGGCTACGGACAGTTTGCTTTCGGCATCTTTGACGACAGCTTCGAGATCCCCACGTTCCCTCCTGGGGCGCAGGCTGACGGCAGCAAGGACCCTGAGAGACCGTGGGAGAGAGTCCTGGCCCCGTACCCAGCCGGGCATCCCCGTCTCCGCCTCCCCACGCGGCGGGCCACTGCCCGGCACAAAGGCCTCCCCGCGCTAGAAGGGATCATCCAGCAGCTCGTCAACGGTATCGTCACGTCCGCCACCATCCCCAGCCTGGATCCTTGGGGAGTCCTGCACTCAAACCCTACGGAAAACGCCTGAGGGGCCAACGGCCTGGACGCCATCGCACAGCTCCTCGGCTTGAAAACACGGGCCCCCCACCGGCAGATGAAGAGAAAATCCAGTCCCTCCCCACTGTCCCCGTCACTGAGCAGCACGTAGGCTCCCGGCTCGAGTGCCCCGTGTGCAAGGACGACGACCCGCTGGGCGAGCAGCTGCCCTGCAAACACCTGTTCCACGATGGCTGCATCGTGCACGGGCTGGAGCAGTACGACAGCTGCCCCGCCTGCCGAAAAAGCCTCCCGGGACAGAACACGGCCACGAACCCACCCCCTCGGGCCTGACTGGGATGAACTTCTCCTCCTCGTTGTCCTCCTCCTCCTCCAGCTCGCCCTGCAACGAGAACGCCACAAGTAACTCCCGAGCCCGCGACGGCCGGAACCCACCCGCGCCCGCTGCGCCTGAGACTGCGGGGAGACCGCGGGGCCTTTCCCACCCACCTCAGCCAGCGCCACACGGCGCCCACAGACTGGGTGCCCCAGCGGCGCCACTCTTGACTGGTCAGCGTTACAGGCCCCGCCTGTTCCAGGGCAGGATCCTGGCCTGGCCCACCGGCTCCCTGGCTCGGGAAGACGTGGGCCACATCGTCCCTTCTGGGGCATCCTCATCCTCCCTGTCCTCCGTCTAACCTCACCCTCTAAACGTTCAGCGGTGGAAAGATTTTTATAATTTTAAATTATTATTGCTTTGAAATAAATGGAAGTTTTAGCTCACATGACGGCCATGCATGATCTGTGGCAAGACGGGGCACAGCTGCTCCACCAGCGCTGTGAGCGCTGCCAGATCAGGCCGCGTAGGCCCCCAGCCTCCCCTTTGGCTACCTCCACGACCCGGAGTTTGGGGGCTCAAGACCATGAGAATGACCAGCAAAATTCAAGAACAAAACTGCTCCAACAGACTTTTTTTTTTTTTTTTTTTTTTTTTTTGAGACTAAGTGTAGCTTTGTCGCCCAGACTGGAGCGCAGTGGCACAATCTCGGCTCACTGCAACCTCCGCCTCCCAGGTTCAAGTGATTCTTCTGCCTCAGCCTCCTGAGTAGCTGGGATTACAGGCGCCCGCCACCACACTCGGCTATTTTTTCCTATCTTTAGTAGAGAGGGGGTTTCACCATGTTGCCCAGGCTGGTCTCAAACTCCTGATCTTGCGATCCGTCCTCCTCGGTCTCCCAAAGTGTTGGGATTACGGGTGTGAGCCACCGTACCCGGCCACCAACAGACATTTTTTAAAGAAAAAATATGTGTATCTTGAAAGCTATTTAAAATACACTACTTACAAAGAGAGAGAGAGAAAAAAAAGATTTGGTACTGTGATTTTAGGCATCCACTGGGGGTCTTGGAACATGTCCCCCATGGGTAAGGGGGAACTACTGGATTTACTGTATTTATGAAGTCTGTATTGTGGTCAGCACTGGGATTGGCTCTGGATGAACACAAGGAATAAGGCCTCTGCACTCAAAGAAAATGCAACAAATGGAGAGAAACCTCCAATAAGCCAGTAAGTGTGTCCTGACCAACTGGGATGCATGCAAAGAAAGAAATGATGTGGGTGCTGTGGCTGTGAATAATAGGAGGAAGCTGTATGTGATGGAACCTATTTCAGAGGATGCTTAATAAAGGCTTCCCTGTGGAGGTGACGTTTAGGCTTAGACCTGAAGAAGAAAAAGGAGCCTGCAGCCAGAGTGTGTAGAAGAGAGTTCCAGACACAGAGAATGCCTATGGGTTGGATGGATCTAAGACAAGCGAGAAATTGACTTCTGGAAGGGAATGTTTGGGGAGTGCAGGTCAGATTGTGGAAAGCGGCTGGGGGTAGCTTGCGCAGAGCCTCAGATGTCTTGATAAAGAGTATAGCCTTTATTCCAATTGCATGGGGAATTGTGGAAATTCATCATTGTTTGCATTTTAAAAAGAGCTATCTGGCTGTGGCATGGATACTAAACTAGAGGAGAGCAAGTGAGGAGGTTCTTGAGAGAGAAGAAACGGGGGGGGGGGTACCAGTGAGGATGGAAAGGGGTGAGGGGATTTAGGCCATTTTGAAGGAAAACAAATAGATAAATAAGACATAATGTTGGATTGGAGGTAAAGGATAAGAGGGAGCTATCACTGATGGCTTCCTGTTTTCTGGTTTGGAATTATCTATCAAGGTGACACAGACTGTAGGAGAAACAGGTTTTGACCTGTTACATTTCAGATGTCTGGGTTTATTAAAAGGGTGGCATTCAGCAGTGGCTCAGCCCTCTGATGTGATAAGGTTCAGTGCCAACAAGAGAAACAATCCTCCAAATTGCTTTGGCATTACTGAAGCCATACTTATTTTTAATAGCTTTATACAGCTTTAGTGCCTTACTTATAGAACTGTTAAGGATCTAAAAGAGTAATGAAGGCCAGGCACAGGGGCTCACGCCTGTTAAATCCCAGTACTTAGCACTGAAGCAAGAGGATCACCTGAGCCCAAGAATTCGAGATCAGCCTGGGCAACCTAACAAGGCCCTGTCTCTACGAAAATAAAAATGAAATAAACATTAGCCAGGTGTGGTGATGTGCGCCTGTGGTTCCAGCTACTTGGGAGGCTGAGGTAGAAGAATTATCTGAGCCCAGGAGTTCGTGGCCACAGTGAGCTGTGATCATGTCACTGCCCTCTAGCCTGGGTGCTGAGTGACAGAGTGAGACCCTGTCTAGACACATACACACACACCCACACATACACACACACACAAAAGTAATGTGTACTTTTGAGTTGTACTTTATTTCCTTTTATATGTGACAATATGTGCTACAGTGGTATTTTCATAAAGGTAAAGGGTATAATCCTCACAAATGTCAAAGGTCTACTATAGATATAATAGGCAATGTATTGAATCAATTGCCAGTAACATTTTATGCAAAATGTAAAGAGACTAGTTGGTGTGTCGTCTGTGGATAGATAATAGTTCTCCTGGCCGGGCACGGTGGCTCACACCTGTAGTCCCAGCACTTTGGGAGGCTGAGGCGGGTGGATCACTTAAGGTCAGGAGTTTGAGACCAGCCTGGCCAACCTGGTGAGACCCCATCTCTACTAAAAATAGAAAAATTAGCCCAGCATGGTGGCACATACCTATAATCTCAGCTACTCGGGAGGCTGAGACACGAGAATCACTTGACCCCAAGAGGCAGAGGTTGCAGTGAGTCGAGAAGTCGCCATTGCACTATAGCCTGGGTGACAAAGTGAGACTCCATCTCAAAAAAAAAAAAAAAAAAAAAAAAAAATTATCCTTTAACTATTATTAGAAGTTGGGAACTCTGTTTTACACTATAAGTATCCCATTTCAGCTCCTATATTATTTGTCATCCATTTTATGTGTGAGAAAATCAAGGCTCAGAAAAGTGACCCAGGGTCACAGAGCTAGCAAGGGGCAGAGTCTGTATTTGGACTCAGGTCTGGGTTGGCTACAAAGCTTGAGGCTTTATTTGATTGTCTGATTGTTAGAGACAGGCTCTCACTCTGTTGCCCAGGTTGGAGTAGAGGTACAATAATGGCTCACTGCAGCCTAGACCTCCCAGGCTCAGGTGATTCTCCTGCCTCAGTCTCCCAATAGTTAGGACTATAGACATGCACCACCATGCCTGGCTAATTTGTGTGTGTGTGTGTGTGTGTGTGTGTGTGTGTGTGTGTCACAGAGACAGGGTCTTGCTATGTTGTGCAGGCCGGTCTTGAACTCCTGAGCTCAAGCGATCCTCCTGCCTTGGCCTCCCAAAGTGTTGGGATTACAGGTGATAACCTCTGCACCTGGCTGAAAGCTTGAGTTTCTGTGTAGTAGATGTTTCATTACAGAATGGATTCTCTGGAAGCAGAAGCTATGATGAGAATGGAAAACAGAAAGGTTTATTGGGGAGCAACACCCATGGAAGGAGACCTGTCAAAGTCTCTACCAGCCAAACAGGAAGCTCTGAAGCAAAAACTACCCATTCGAGGGGTCCAGCATTGAGCAGAGATGGCTAGGCCATTGTTCCAACCCTTGCCCAGTCATTGGCCAGGGAGAATGTCCCAAGAAGAGCATGATCTGGCTGGAAAGCTGAGGTGGACTTGAAGGCTGTCAGTGAACTGAACTCCTTGCAGCTGGGCAGTGAGTCCACCGTTAAATGGGGATCTGAACAGCGCATCTCCTTGTCTGCCATAGGCTCTAAACATTGTCAGCACTCTTTCACCCAAGAAAAGGCACTGCATTAGTTATCTATCGCTGTGTAACTAATTGCCATAAAATGTAGTTGTGGAAAACAACAAAGATTTGTTATCTCACGGTTTCTGTGGGTCGGGAATCCAGGCATGGCTTAGCTGGGTGCCTCTGGCTGAAGGTCTTTCATAAGGTGGCAGTCAAGCTGTCAGCCTGGACCACAGTCCCATCCAAAGGCTCAACTGGATGGAGAATCCACTCCCAAGCTCACAATTTGTGTTTATCTACAGGACTTGGTCACCTCATCACATGAGCCTCCCCACAGGGCTGCCTCTTGACATGGCAGCTGGCTTCCTCCAGGGTGAGCCATCCAAGAGACCTCAGTGAGAAAGAGGACTCAAAATAAAAGCCATGGTCTTTTATAATTTTGGAAGTGACATTCCATCCCTTCTGCTGCATTCTATTTCTTAGGAGTAAGTGAATATATCCAGTGTACAGTCAAGGGATGTACAAATACAAGAATACCAGGAGGTGGGACTCCTTGGCGGCCATCTGAGAGGCTGCCTCCCGTATTCAAATAAATAACACTGGGGCAATAATAAGATTGGATCTCATGTATTGAGCAGTTGCTATAAATCAGGGGTGGCATTAGGCCCTTACATACATGATCTCACCATGTCTCCTGTGTTCACTCAGGATTCATTAGGCACCAGGCACTGTGAGTTCTTGAGAACAGAATGGCAAATGAGGAACACTCCTGCTCTTGAGGTGCTCATGTCTACAGGAATAATTTGTTCTGATTTTATAGAGGAGGACAAGAAAGGTCACACCGTTAGTAAGTGGCTGAGCTAGGAGGCCCAAGCTGCTCAGTGTGACTTTGAGGCCAGAAATGTTTGTGAAGACAGCATCCTCCTGAATCCACCATCCCGGAAAACATCAGGAGGCACCAAAAAGGCCTCTTCACACCTTGTCTAAGAACAATAGTGAGGAAGAAACAAGTCACAAAGAATACATACGATATCATTCCTTTTTCTTTTTTCTTTCTTTCTTTTTTTTTGAGACAGGGGCTTCCTCTGTCGCCCAGGCTGGCATGCAGTGGTGTGATCTTGGCTCACTGCAACCTCCAGTGTTCAAGAGATTCTCCTGCCTCAGCCTCCCGAGTAGTTGAGATTACAGGCGCCTGCCACCACACCCAGCTACGTTTTTTGTATTTTTAGTAGAGACAGGGTTTTACCACATTGGCCAGGCTGGTCTCGAACTCTGGACCTCAGGTGATCCACCTGCCTTGGCCTCCCAAAGTGCTGAGATTACAGATGTAAACCTCCGCACCCAGTCTAATTCCATTTATACGACATTCATAAACTGATGCTTGTTTATGGGGCACACTTAGTTGTAACACAAAAGAGGAAAGAAAGAAAATGGTTTCCGCAAGTTAGGATAGTGGCCACCTCTAGCGGAGGGAAGGGGATGGAACAGGGGGACACACAAGGGATGCTGGGAGGGGGCTGAATACTATTCTAGACCTGGTGGTGGTTATATGGGTGTTCAATTTATACTGACAATTGA